ACGTAAGATAATGTTTACTTTTGCTGCACCTACCTCAAATTACTGGTTTTATTTTTCTTTGTTTGAAAGTAGTTTATCTATTTTAAATATGACTTTTTCTAGCTTATTTTTCACAATTTTTTAAAATTTAGGGCTAAAGAGAGCCCTCCCTTTTATTGTGCTCATGACTATATTATATCATATTCCTTTCGATTGTGCTTCTTGACATTTTGAATTTTTAGCTTATCTTATTTAGGCTACATTATGCTATTTTTGATTGATTAGGTTATCTTATTTAGGCTACATTATGCTATTTTTAATTGATTAGGTTATCTTATTTAGGCTACATTATGCTATTTTTAATTGATTAGGTTATCTTATTTAGGCTACATTATGCTATTTTTAATTGCTTAGGTTATCTTATTTAGGCTACATTATGCTATTTTTAATTGCTTAGGTTATCTTATTTAGGCTATATTATGCTATTTTTAATTGCTTAGGTTATCTTATTTAGGATACATTATGTTATTTTTGATTGATTAGGTTATCTTATTTAGGCTACATTATGCTATTTTTAATTGATTAGGTTATCTTATTTAGGCTACATTATGCTATTTTTAATTGATTAGGTTATCTTATTTAGGCTACATTATGCTATTTTTGATTGATTGGGTTATCTTATTTAGGCTACATTATGCTATTTTTAATTGCTTAGGTTATCTTATTTAGGCTACATTATGTTATTTTTGATTGATTAGGTTATCTCATTTAAGCTACATTATGCTATTTTTGATTGATTAGGTTATCTTATTTAAGCTACATTATGCTATTTTTGATTGATTAGGTTATCTTATTTAGGCTACATTATGCTATTTTTGATTGATTGGGTTATCTTATTTAGGCTACATTATGTTATTTTTGATTGATTAGGTTATCTTATTTAGGCTACATTATGCTATTTTTGATTGATTAGGTTATCTTATTTAGGCTACATTATGCTATTTTTGATTGATTAGGTTATCTTATTTAGGCTACATTATGCTATTT